ATTTTATAATTTTTGTTTCAATTTTTTTATTAATTTTGAATTTATTTTTTATTTCATGAACGTTTAGAAGTTTTTTTAATATTATCAAGTTTGTTAAGATTTTTATTATTTTTTTTTGAATTTAAAGAATAATATTATATTATTAAAGCATTTTAATAAAAGCACTAAAATATTATCATAAACTTTTCTAAGCACTAAATTGTTTTATTATTATTATAAAAAATTTTTTTCTAGAGACTTTTTAAATATTAATTATTATTACTTTAATAAAAAAGATTATTAATGTTATTATTTAAGTTATTCCAGTTATTATTATATAAATTTAATAATTATAATGTTTTCAAGATTATAACTTTTTATAATTTTTTTTATTATATTCTTTTAATTCTTGAAAAACTTTATTATTTATTTTTCTTTATTTTTGGATACAAGAATTTTTATTATTATTTACTTGTAAAATAATTTTTTTCCTCGCTGGTCAGTTTATTTGTGTGCGGAGAGACTGGTGATTTTGAATAAATTTCCGTCCACGTGCTATGAATTTGTTGTGACTCTTTTCATTATTACTACTACAATTAATTTTTTGCCACCCCTTTTCCAAATGTTGGCTGCGAGTTTTTTACATATAAGGCATTTGCATTGTGCTACGTTTTTTTGTTTTCAATACCAACTATTTGAGGGATTCATTATTTTTCATTCTGTTTACTCGTGATATAGTTTGACTTAGCGGCTGAAGGGGACCCAACAGCCGCGCTGGTGATTAAGCTAACCGCCCCGGGATAATCCATATTTTAAAAAGTTTATAACTATAGAGAGTTCACTACTACTACTACTATTACTTATAAAATAACTTCTTTATAAAAGTTTATATTAAATAGTTTTTAATTCAATGAAAAATATTGTCTATCCTGAAAAGTTTTTTTAATGAATAAAGGTTATTCCCAAAGCGGGCCGGTATACACGTTTATTAAAGGAAGTACATCAAACTTTCTTAAAGATTCACTATTTCATATATTATATATTATTATCTTTGTCCATATATTATTCTTTTTATTATTATTTTATTGAGTTGGTTGTTTCAGATAATTCTTTATTTCATTTAAGAAATATTTTATCAGTTTCTATCTTACTATAGTTATTACTATTTTATTATATATTTATTATTTATATATGTTATTATGTTTTTTTCCTATTATTATGCTATAAATAATTATAAGCTCCATTATTTTTTTTTGTAGACGAGAAGTTTAAAGTATTTTATTTATCAAGAAAAAACTACTATTATCTTTTATATATATTTATAATTATTACTATATGCTTTCATGTTATAACTATTTTTATACTCTTTATAAGTTTTATATAAAATTTTAGAGCTATAACAAAAGAGGAATAAAAAAAAGAATGTAAAGTACACTTTATATGATAAATTGTAAACATGATATTATAGAAAGTGAAATATATAATAATTACTAAAAGAAAGGAATAATTTTTTAAAATAATGTATTAATATCAATAATAATATATGAAATTCATTGTTTATTAATAAAATTATAATATCATAGCTGAAGAAGAAAAGAATGATAGTTATTATTTATATTTTATTAAAAAGACTCTGTTGTGTCTTTCAATAAATGTGGTTGGATATGAATACTTGATAATAAAAACCAAAAAAGTCAAGTTGTCTCTGCAGTTTAGAAACATTGCGTCGGAAGTAATATCTCTGAGGAACCGTGTACAATTTTTATGAGCAAAGCAGAGGCCATGGAAAATCATTTACTTACAAACATTTTGCTGTCGAAAATATATTAAATTCCACGTTATACCGTACTACAAGGTTTTAGAGTGGAGTGAGTGCGGACAGAAAAAAAAGGAAGTGGTCGTAAAGTTGTCAAAATCACCAAACAGCAACCCCAGAAATTTATAAAAGTGTTTATAAACAGTGATTCGTGTCCTCTTCGCTTAGCCGCAAAAAAATTTGGCGGAAACCCATCTTATTTGTGTAATATTCTTAATAAAAAAAATTAAGATGTCGGAAAAGCAAACTATCCACCAAAGCATTCAGAAAATCTAATACAACTTGCAAAGCCAAAGTGCTGTCGTTGCTTGCGGAAATTTTCAAATCATGCCTTTATTTTAGATGCGAGTCATATTTTACCCTTTCACTCGCTATTATGAAAGCTTCTCCTAGGGGTAAGTTTGCCACAAAAGCAAAATTTTAAGGCAAAGTGCTGGTATGGATAGCTATTAGACCCATAGGGACTAAGTCGTAATTTTTCGTAAATCTGGATTACAATTAATTGCAAAGCGTACTTAATTGATTGTATTAAACTAAGATTAAATCCGTACGTGACAATTACCAAAATGATCAGTATGTATTCTGGACCAATCTTGCCACATTATGCTAAGATTGCGGTTGATCAACTGCAACAAGGAAACATCAACCGTTTGCAGAAAAAGAGGATAGCCCATCAGGACGACCCAGCTAATTGCCCTGAAGCTCGTCCTATTGTAGATTTTTGGTCCTTATTTATGCGAGAGGGTGACGAGCTACAAACAACGCAGTTGGTAACACGGATCAGCTACGGCTTGAAGCAAAGAGACGATGTTGTACAGAGGCTTTCTGAATCCACTCATAGAAGAACCGATGTAATTGAAGTTCGATACTTTTTTTGTTAGTCACTAACTGTACCATTTGTTAAAATATGTTAATAAGGTATTGCTGTTTATTTCTTATTTACTTTAATAGAATGTTAAGCTGTAGTCCAGATTTTCCCAAAACACCTGTTGGGCGCAAAGACAACTTGTGAGGGAAAGCAACAATAACGGCAGCAACTAACATTGTTGCTGGGAGCACCTGCCAGCTTTGCTTGAGACAAACGATGGAACACCAAAAACGTTCTCTTCCAAATTTTTGCTTACTGATTCAAATTTTTCGGTGATACCTTTCACCTCCTCTGGCCTACAGACGATTTTCATTTTTCTGGGCATCTCGGTTACCGCTTTTAAGGCGTTGTGCTTTTGGCTTACCAGAAGCACCCCGACTACCATGACAGCACCTAGAGTCGAATAGCGCCCAAATTAACGTTTAATTGAATATACCGGCACATGATAAAAAGGGTTGTTGGCAACTTTTATTAAGTTCGGCAAATTTAGTAACTAGTAGCTTAATTACTAATCATTGCAACATATGATACATACCTAATTGTCGCCAACCTGGTGATAAAGTGTAATACAAATCTTAAAATTATGAATTGTGCAAAGTCCTTTAAACTCACTTGTTACTCGGCTACTCTAGAGAATTAAGATCAGCAAAATCTTTGATTCTATATTATAAAGCTAATGGTCTAGTATTCTAAAAAATTTATTATTATATTTTTTTACCAGCCCTTTAAACTAAAGAAAGCGTTATTGCTAAACATATTAGCGAAAATAATATATTTAAAAGTTGACATTTACATGTATGGGAGTTTAGGTAAACTGTGACAACCAGTGGTAAAAAGTTCTTTTTACTTATTGAGTTCTCACGCATTGAAGCCGTAATAGAAAATATATATTTTAAAGTGCATCCTCTGAGTGAATTAATTCTCCTTCCATATATTACAGAGCTTTGGTTAAAAAAATGACTCAAAAACAGTTATTTCAGTAAAAGGATGTTTTGCTTGGGTGCAGCTAACTATATGGGACCAGTTGTGTAAACTGTGACTAGTCTTTAAGTTTACTACACTGACAATGATAATTTTACATAGCAATTAAGTTTTTAACTTCCATAGATTACATAACCTTTAATTTTATATTAATTTCAAAAAAGTTATTCGTTTTAAATAAAACAGGTAAAATAAAGTCTTCCATTTAACTGGCGAAGTGCTATCCCGATTCGATAAAAGTGATTCTCATTGTATTTATTAATTAACGTATTAACTTTTGACGAAATTTTTAATATGTCCATGTCGTCGCTTACATTTTTAAAGTCAGTTAATTCCCAACTACCGCCGGATATCAATTTTCTTTTTAAGTAAGATTTATCCTCATTTTTTAAATGCACCAGTATTTTCTTAATATCACTTAGCAAGCTCTCAAAAACAGATTCCTGGATGTTAACCATTGACAATTCCAGCTTAGGTTCTGAACCTGTCCAATAATTATATTTTATGGTTCTTAAATATTCTTCATATTGAGTCTTTTCTGAAGATCCTTCAAGGCCAGTTTCTTTGAGTTTCATATCTTGGTAGAAGCCTGATAAACAACAATATCCGCCAAACCCTACAGTGTCTTTTACGTACTATCAAATTCTCTATGCCCACTAAATATTTGAGGTCTTCTAGATTACGCTAAAAAGTTAGCGTTCTAGATTTTATTTCCTAAAGAGGCAAAATCGTCTATCTCATATATACATTACCGTCGCAGATTAGAAATTTCAGATTGATATAATAAAAATGAATTAACGCATTTATATAGTTTTTGATGAATTATAAAAAACAATACCTCTTTATATCTGTAAGCAAGGTCACCCAAACTTTGTCTCTATAAAAAGATAAGAATGAACCAAATTAGGGCCCATAAACCACCATTAAGGATTTTAGTACTGAGCACAAATTTAATTTAGGTTAAGATTTAGAAAATTTAAGTGTAAAATTAAATTTATCAATACATCTCTAAATATAAAGTAAACAAAAGGGTGCTCAATTGCGTTCCCTTCCGAGTGAGTACGCTCTCTCCTTCAGCAGTTATCCTCATGTAATAGTCGAAAAAATCTGAAACAGTTTTTTTGGTAATTAGATTTTTTAATCTAGCCAACTAAAAATCACCATTTCTGATATTTTTTAAAAGGAACTATAAAGAAAGCGAAATTAAAATTTATGGTTAAAAAATATATCAATTATACCAGTAGACTTTTTAATTATTTAGAATTTGAGATTTCTTTGCGTCAAGATTATAGCGTAAAGTCTCTTTTAGACTCTGTAAATAGAATTAAATATATTAACACTTTCATTTGAAACATCGGTAATTTCAGAGTTGTGAGTACTTAAGGAGGAATTTAAGTTTTTCAAAAACAGCTTTAACGGTGCAAATCATTAAAAAAATTTTTTAGGTATTTATTAGAATAATTTCTTTTCGTAATTCAATTATAAAGATTCTTTGTAAGAACCCAAAAATTCTCTTGATGCATACACTAGTGTTTATACCTTCGAGTCTTGCGCAATAAGTCCTTTTAATGTAGTAGGAGGATGAGCACTGGCGTGGACTGTGTAAAGATATGTACAAAGTTTCTGTCATAAACCTTGCAGACAATTTTTATTGACTTCTTTACTAGAAACAAGTCTAAAAAGGAAGTAGAATTTTATATCCCAGTTTAATCCAATACAGCGCGTCATATGTTTAACAAAGGCCAATGGTCGAATATTCATGTTTATTACTCCATATGAGAAGGGAATCAGCCCTATATTTTTTCTTAAGTTCGATATATGGTGCAAACTTTTGAAATTCATGTATTTTAAAGTAAGCTAAAATAAAGTTTAACTAGAACTGCAGCATCGAGAGTATCTATATATATACCATTTAATTGTTGATATACTATATTATTAAAGGTAAAGAAATTTTATTTCGAACCATTCCAAATATAGCTACATAGTATGGGAAAAGAAGAGGTTCATGTTTAATAATAATTTCAATTAAGTACTCTATTATAAACTCTAGATCTTTTATTAATATGCTAGTTGTTAAGCTTTAATGTCTAGGGAACAAATAATACTGTTTTCATCTAGAACAAGGCTATTTAACATAGGTTTCAGGCATTCTGAATACTGTATAAAAGAATCGACAGTGTTGGAGACTAGAGTTTAAAGTGTAACCATTTGGCAAGACCTGCCGTAGGATTATTACATTATGCCATAATAGGTTTGAGAGCAGAAGATTTTTGGAATAGAATAGCATAAAATTAGTAAAGTGATATTTTCTCAAGATTATTAAGGATAGCTTGAGAGAACTTTTGGTTATATCGCTCATGAGCAGAAAACTTCATAAGCATTAATGAGTAAATATGCTTATCTTTTGACCTTAAATAGTCTAGTAACAAAGTTTTTTTCTTTTTCTGTTTTCTAATAAAATGAAGAATTAAAATGGGTTGAGAGACTTGAGTTTTATAGTTTCGTAGTTATTACTGCAGGTCCTTTACTTTTCTCTGTAATTAAGAATTTAAGAGTGGACTTTTCGAAATCTTTAATTAAATTTGGAGATATATTACTTTTAAAGGACAACTTTTTATTAAAAAATATATATATATACTTATCAAATATTAATTATATACTGTCAAAAACTTAACCTTATAATTTAGTTGAGGAGGTAATGCTTATGCGAAATGAACACTTAAAGCTTCTTTAGTTGGACTATTTTCTCCAAAATTTTTAGTTTTAATCTGAATTTTGTCTTAAAAATTCTAGTAAATTATGATAAAACTTCGTTTCGTTTAATGAGAAAAGTTTAGATTTAGAACAAAAAATTTAGGGTCCAGAGCGATAACCTTTGTTAAAATACAGAGGGATGCATATACATATAAAATACTCACACGAACACAAAAAAGATAAATAATAAACCAAGGAGGAAAGAAAAAACGAAGATAAAGAGTATAAAAAGTTTTTATTCAAGGCTAGTATTCCCTTTTTATAAACATTCCGTATTATCCAGCATTTGCTTAAATGCTTTTATATCATAAATAAACAGGAAAATGTCCATTTATGGAAACCTGCGTTGCATTAAATTATCCAAACCTATTCGACATTTACAATATTTAGCATGGGGCAGGTACCGGTAGATTTTAAGTTTTAGTAAACTTGATTTTTTAATTTTTTATTAAACATATTCACAGATTAGTTTTTGAACTGAGATAAATTTTTCCCGCTTAAGATCATTATCTATAGTTTCTTTGGAGATTGGTACTAGTAATGAGGAATTCAAATTAATCCATCTGCTTGGAGATGCGCTCTCAAACGTAACCAAATAGAAGATATGGTAGCTGACGGTGAAGAGACTATAGACAGAATACATACTTTCGCCATTTTGTACCTTTAGAATTTAAACTTTTTGATGGCACGCTTAAATGTTAAATTTGTTATTTAAAAGTCCGGTCTTTACCAAAACAATTTTTTAATATCTGGTGCAAGTTGCCGGACAGTTTAATTATTCTTTCTCTACCTATTTTGCTAATAGGCGCTATAGTTTAAACCTAGGAACTTCACGTGGTGATCCAAAATTTTTTCCCACTACTGCTCTCGCTTACTGTTGCTTATCTAAATTTGGCAATTACTTGTTTTAGGGCCAGATTGAAGCTCCAATTTTTTATTTACTATACTTATTATGACCTAAGGAGATAGTCTAAAGCATTTTTAGAAATGTATTAAGAATAATGAGCACACATTAACAGTTTAAATAGGTAAAGCCATCATGCCGAGTCGAAATTTGTCGACGTGGCACAACGTTAGAGAGCAATGGCGCGCAAAATTTCAGGGTTTCTTTTTTGAAAAAGTTGCCTTGCCTTCATAAATTCTTATAAACTTTTTTAACATTTAAACCCTTAAATGACCACTACTATGTAAGGAAAACAACAATAGCTGAGAACAAGAATGATCCACCTTTTATTTTTATTAACAAAAAACGTGTATTATGTATGTACGGAACAATCCATATTTACAAGATTATAGTAATGCAAATAAAGTATTTGAACGGGTATAACCTAAGATGCTCACTTAATGGAGAAAAATAGGTTTAATAATTAAAAATCAATATTTACACTCTAATGAAAAGGTTGTAAGCTTTAAATAAAAGCTAAGTAAGTGTGATTGTGGGTACCAAACATTTTTATTATATCACACCATTATTCGTTCTTTGTTAAGTTTTTCAGCGCACTTTTTCTATGTGATATTTTCCATGACCAACATCAATAACTTAATTAACTTTGAAAGAAAAATAGGCGATATTATACTTAATGAATCGCGAACAACTACTAATTACCGCAAAAGTTTACAAAAATTTTTAATGCGTTATGCTGAGCGTCAAAGCTACGCCATCGTATTTCTACTTCTCACCACTGAAATGGAGTAACTTTTTTTTAGAAAATACAGAAAAACAGGTTTAAAAAAAAAAAAGAATAGAATTTGTTTATTTTCCGTAATGAAAAGCGTATTTATACATTCAGTTTAGATATAAATTAATTTTTTTTAATTTTTTAAGAGTTTCGAGTGAGACCAAATAAAGGGAAAAACAGATTGATATCAAAATCATATTTGTTAGTTATGTCAAGACGTTCCACCCGTAAGCACGTATAATAGGCCAAAACTAATGCATATTGAAACTACAGGTTCCTTAAAGTCATGCCAAGTCATATTATTATAACTTCGAGCCAGATAATCTAACTCCGCTGTCAAATTAAGAATTGCAAGAATGTTCCTACTATTATCATTTTTATACTAAAATATGTCTATATTGAGTGCGGTTTTGCATTCTGCTGTCTTTATCATTTTTTATAGTTTTTTAAAGGGGCCCCCTCTATAGGGCTATAGCCGAATGGGGATAAGATATTAACACAATTATTTTAATGTTATCCCTCATTATATATGATATGCTTATTTAGTAAATCATTTCCTGAAAGTGTGGTATTCTTATAATTGGTTACTTAATTTTTTCTTAATTTGTTAATAAAAATTGATTTTGTAATAAAGATAATTATAAAAATTGATGAAAAGTATTTATTGCTGCTGCAAGTCTAAATGAAGGCTCTGGCCTTGCTTACGTGTGTTTTTATAATAATTTATTATTTAATTATACTATTATTAAATCATGAACATTTAGACTTTTCAGGACGTTGTTTCTTTGCGTTACGAACTTGTTATACGTTGTATGTAGAGGTTAATTGTTAAAATATAGTACGCATTTACATATTCGATTTTGTTTATTTCCATATATTAATGAATTTTATACATTTAATGCTTTTTTATTAAAGTCAACAATTTTAAGAAATTATTTTCATGTATGCGTACAATAAGCCTTCTTTCCCAGTAAAAGTAAGCTTCTTTTGTTTACTGGTTGTTGGTCCTTTGTTTCTAGTCCCTGCGTAAGAGGATAAAGTTTGTCAATTTAAGAGTTTAAGGTCTGCTGGTTTTTACAAAATTAGTTTTTCTTAATATTAATACTGTATTCCCTTTTTAGTTCTTCTGTTAGGCCTTTTGACTTGTGAATATTTGTTTTATGCAGGTCCATATTACTTTACCATATAGACTTTTTTTTCTAAATATAGGTTTTACTTTTAAGTAGAACAAAACCTTCTGGTGGTTCTACCGAATAGTAACATTTGTAAGAATAAGTTAATAGTCTGAAAATTTTGTGATATATAAGTATAATTGTTTAGAGTCGTGGATTTTTTTTTTACTTTTGTAATATTGAACTTTAAAATAAAAACTTATACTTCAATATTGTTATCATTACTTTTGCCTATATAAGAAGCGGACAAAAACCTTTAAAATATATAAAAAATTTCTGTCGGCATTATTACTATATTATAAAGCTGTCTCATCCCGATAAATTATATTATGTTTGCTAAGTACAAGTAAACTTATTGTTGATTTAGTATTTATCAATAATTATTGGTTTTTCTTAATAGATCAACTTAAATAAACTTGTTTGAAAAATCTTAGAGACAGTAACGTTCTTTCAGCAAAATTTTAATTTTTAATAAATTTTTTAAGTGGTGAAAATTAAAGCGGCGCGAATACAAAGGAGAATAAAAAAAAAAGTTTATAAAAGAGTGAATAAACGTGAGCAGTTCTCCTACTAAATGAGAATAGGACCTTTAAAAAAAGGTTTGTATATATGAAAAATAAGTGTGACCTTAAAATTTTAACTCAAGTTTATATTTCTTTTACTAAGCATAAGAACCTTTTGAAGTTTTATGTGACCTCAAGAGCTTCTCTCTTACTATTAGAAGATAAACGAAAGAATAAAAAATTGAAAATAAAAAAGTATAGATTCACTTTTAAGAGTTTAATGGCATAACTAAGTATTAATTGTGTTTATATCTATGATACAACACCGTAGTATTTATTAAAACTTTAAAATAGTATAATGAATTGCTTGAAACTTTATTCTTCTGGAAGAATGCAATTTAAGTAAAATGGTTACTGATTTTATTACCAGAAATACTAAACAGCTAGAAAAATATATACGATATTTACAAGAGCGCAAACCCTTTTGGTATCTTTAAAGTACAGCACCTCCCAATATAATATCACTTACATTTCTTCGAAGAAATAGGTCGTATTCACTATAGATATATCCTACTCACAATTTCACATTTAATAACATCATAACTCTATTACATAACTTTTCTGGCTCGTTACTAACACAAATTTTACTTTTCTTCTACAAATTTATTCAGCAGGTCAATGAAATCAGCACAATGCGGAATGTGGTTACTCCAAAAAGTTAAAGACTAAAAAACGTACCAGCCAATATTTTTAGATTTTTTTTTTAAGACGCGATCTTTCTTTTTTGCTTTTGAGCTAGTAGGCCCTCTCCCTAGCCAACGTGTCTCAACAAATTTGCATCTTAATCTATTTTCAATACTATCACAAATTTAGGGTTAAGGCCACTAAAACACTCATTAAGTAAACATGAATTTTGCATGCATGCCGTTATTATACCCGTGATCTTTTGATACGCAGGAGGCGGTTTCACATAGCTAAAGGCAACACTGCTCACTACATCCTTTGACCATTAAGAGTAATGAACTCAAAATACTTTTTCAAGTGCCCGTCTAACTTTTTAGGGTGGCAGTTCTTCACAATGTCAAAAAAATTTTTTATCCCTTAACGCTCATTTAATGGCTGGTATTTCTCCACTACGCGATTGGCTCAAATTTTTAAAACCCCCCATCACATATAGGGACATACATTTAAGCTCTTTTTAACATCAATTCTTGTACCCTCAACACCGGATTTTTCTGCAACCCTCATAGTTCCAAATCCGGTCAGTAACGTCTCCAAAAAACCTGATTTAAGTAGCATCTAGCATTCTCTCAATAACTAATGCCTTTGTTTTATCTTTAATTCCCACTGGATCCAAGCATTCAACACGTCATATTTCAGCTTAACTTTTATAAACACTATCGTTTTTTAAACACTTATAAACCAGCCCTCTAAAGAGAGAAGTACGTAATTCCGGTGAACCGACGCGCACCTTTGTTTTCAACAGAAAAGGAAGGCGAAAATGCTGAGACAGATAAAAAAGTTGAAAGCTTTAAGATCCGTAATAAGTGTCAAGCAGGAAAGTATTAAAATTCAGCAAGAGTTGACGAAGTACATTAAACTGATAGTTGCTGATAGACACCCAGATGGGTTATTAAAGCTCAGCGGGTTTATTAATGGGCAGTCTCACCTCCCCCCACCAAGTAAATACAACTGTAGCATCCGCTAAGAAGTAACGAAGATGGGTCAATGAAAAATAATAACCATTAATTGCGTTTTTTTGCCCCGTCAGACAAAAATAAAAGGGTACTAAACCACACCCCTAAACCCCGGCGTGAACTAGGGCGAACACAAAACTATCGTGTGGGCCTTGCAGAAAGTTATTTATGTTCCTTTAAGGTAGGTGTTACGAAACATCTCAAATATATATTCAGGTATCCTTCGTTAACGTACACAAGTTGAGAAGTCGCTTAATTCACACGAAATTTTCACAATATCCCAACATACTTTTAAAGGCTTCTGACTTTACGAAACAGAGCATTATATTTTATTCATTTCCATATTATATTAAAATGTATTATGAATTTAATTTTTTTTTTTTTGAATATTATATTGCTATTAAACATAAGTTTACTGTTATTTTTTATTTTAAAATAACACTTAAAAAAATTTATTATTAAATTTTATGTTTTTTAACTTTACTTAGTGGAAAAAAATTATTTTCTTTATTTGGATTAATAATAATTCTAATATTTGAAATTTTAATATAAACTACCCCTAATCTTTTGCTTAAACTACGCTTAAATATTTATTTGTTTTCAAAAGTAATTTTAATAATCTAGCTTTTTTTGTTAGAAATAACATATTCATAACGGTTAAAATTTAAATTTTTTAATTATAAATGTTTTCAATAATATATTTTTGCTGATTTTGCTAATTTTACAATTTTTTAAAAAATCCTTTACACTTTTTACTATGAAACATTAAAAGTTATATTAAAAAATATATATTTTTTAACTTCTATAAAGCTAAATAATATTTTAACACTACTCACTAATAATGAAATTAAAGATTTTTTTTTTAAAAAAGGAAAACAATAATATAAAGATCTTAAAACTTTATTCTTTGCTATATTAAGATATTTTTATATTAATATTCTCAACGTTTCTTATAAAAATTAAGTTTTTTTTAATAATATTATACTCTTTTTAACTTTTACTTCGTAAATCCGAAATTATTTGTTTTTTATTAAAATTTTTATAAACTTTTTACTTTATAATAATAAATCTGTAAATATTTAATGTTTTTAAGTATTATAAAAAGGCAAATTTAATGGACGATATAATTTTTTAATTTTACTTTATTATAATAAGCATTTTTAATATTTTAATATATTTTATTATATCAACTTTTAATAAAAAATTTTTTTATAAACCCTTATAGATTTTACGTAATAATTATATAAAATCTGGTAAACTTTTTACTTTATATATATAAGGGGCATATTTTTCAAACTACCAAATTTGTTTTTGAATTTTAAAGTATAATATTTTGTTAATATTAATATTTTTTTAACTTATAATAAAAAAGTAAGATTTTATGATGGCATAATAAAATTTTAATATTACTATACAAATTGTAAGTTTTATAAATAAATCTTTTATTCTTTTTCTTATGTAATATAAATTTATATTAACTTATTACATAAACTTATAATAAAATTATAGATATATATAATCTTATAACCTTTACGTTAAAAATATTTATAAAAATCTAGTAAACTTTTTACATAATTTATATATATAGGGGCATATTTTTTAGACAATTCAACTTTTTTTTAACTTTAATTTATAATATTAAGTTTTATTATTTAATATTGATTAAAAGTTATAATAAAATTATATAAAAAACATTTTAAGTTTTTACTTTAAAATAATAAAATAATTCGGGATTTTTATACTTTTAATTTAGGTTTTTGAATCTCTATTTAATATATAATATATATTTAAGTAAAACTGGAGATTCTCAACAGTTATTTATAAATAAAAAAGTTACCGTCTTAATTATAAAAACTATATTTTATTTTTGTGACAATAATATAAGAACTCTTGTGTTTTTCAGAGAAATGACTTAAAGAACTAAATAGATAATCTGAGAACGATATTGTAGGACGCGAACGTTAAAAGAAAGCATTGAAGAATATAATAATACTTTTCAATTAAATATATAAATAATATTTTTTTTTTGGAAGCGAATAAAAAACCTTAAGTGAAGATATTACAGACACTAAAAGTTTTATATGGTAAATATTTAAAAATTACTATAGATTTATAAAAAGGTTTTAAAATTGTACTTATAAGTAAAGCGTTTATTTAATTTTAGCTATTGATAGTAAAAAAAAGTTAACAGGTTTCTAAATTAATATAAATAAGAGGTTTAGAATTTATTAACAAAAAAAATTTTTATTAAAGAATTTTTTATTATAATATATTATAATAGAAAAGTATTTATAAATTTTTTTAAAACTAAAACCTAAAACGATTGCTCTATGTAAATATTAAATAGAGTTTAGTAAGGGCTTTTGCATATTTATAATTTATATATATATTAATTATTCAATGTATTTTTGGCTTTTTGTATATATATATTTTTTTTTGATAAAAATTTAAGTTCATACGAATAGTTTATTAAAAGGTATAGTAAAACTAAAGCAATCTAAATATTAATATTACAAATATTAAATAATGTCTACTTTAAATAGTACTTAGTTACTAATAACTTAAGACTGTTGCTAATAATTAATAAGAAGAAGAAGAAAAGTACTTTTTTTATTTCTTGAAATTAATAAAATTATTCATGGAAATATAGATATAGATACAGTCAAATCTAAAATGGGAGGATAAGAGTGTAGTTTAGCAAAAGTTGTATCAATTTTATTAAAACAAGACAATATTTTTATATAAAGATTGTTTACTCTTGCGTAACACAAGTCTAGTTTTAAATCAATTGCTAAAGTCTATGAGGCAATGTTATTTAATTGTTCATTCCAAAAAACTTAAAAGTTTGGTATAGAGATATAAATTAAATTTCAAAATAGTGGTAATCATATTTGTAAGTGTCGCTAAAATAAATAAACCTTTAGAAAAAGTTTTATAATATCTATTTTTAAATAGAACATACATAAAGCATTTAAAAAATTATACTTAGGAGTTAGTTAATATTAAAAGTGGAAATTTTGTAATAATATTTGAGAAACTGGAAATATTTTTCTGTTATGATTGGTTCCTCTTGAAGTAAACGACACCATTTTGTACAAATTGAGACCGCCTAGCGTGGACTTACAATTTTCGTCTCGCCAAGACGCCTGGAGGCCGCCCATCTGGGTCTCAGAAAAAAATCCATAAAAGAGAATAACTTTTGTTTTTATCCTTTTTCGTTTTACTTTGGTAGAACAAGCTATTTAGCATTTCTAGAGTGTTCGTTAGTTTTGTTCTACCAAAGTTGAACTTTTCTTCTTCCTTTAATGCATCATACAGATTTCCTTAGCTATCGTCTGTAAGTCTTATAGTTTTCCTTCAGATGTGTTTAACGTCATATTACAGTAGACTGACCATTATCAGACTTGCTTTTTGAGGGGCTTGCATTCTCCTTCCTGTATGAGACCTTCCTCTAGTGAAGCTTATATTTAGCTCTACTAGTGTAACGGGTCTTCTCTGTTATTTTCTTACAAGCAAGGCCTTTTGTTTTAATAGAGTGTCAATAAAGCATA